CAGACGAGTTGGAGACTACGCTCAGTTCAGCCTGTTAACTGATACAGCAGGTGGCCTGAGGCTTGAACACAAAGCACATTTCAATCAGTGAATTTTGATGATCGTGAACAAACTTTCTTCAAACGGTTTTCTTTCCCTGCTTGATTGCACTTGTAAACTGCAAGAAACTTTCGCCAGAGCCAATTTGTCAAGTCTTCCGCACGGTACACAGATGTTTTCAAAGCCCACCATCAGCCATCGTGCAGCTAATTTAGATTCTCCCTATCAACAGCTACAACTCTGAAAAATGCCTTTCACGTGTGACTACTTGAGGAGTTCATCAAACCTTTGCTGAGCTTATCCAAAGCTGGTTCTTTGGAGCTCGGGTTGCTCAACATCCGGTCGAGTCCAAGATATCTGACAGCTAAGATTGAGTGTGTGATTGCCAGAGACAAGCAGAGGAATCTGCCAGAAATTTTGCAACAAGCTCCAGTTAGAGGAGAGAGTTTAGTAATGGTGGTCCCTGTTCAGAGAGCGTCAGAAAGGTGCTGAAAACTGAAAGAAGAAGAAATACTCGGGCCAGAAGGAGCATAAAGACCCACTGGCTGTGGCTTTCCCACAGCATAACAGCTGTAATGAAACGCAGTCTCGTTCACGGCACCGAACGGTGTTTCCTCTGCAAACTGGAGAGGCTGGCTTAATCCTGAGCTCATCACACTGCTCTCCACCAGCTTCCCCTCATCTTCAATGATGGCGACATGCTGTGCTTCAGTATTCTTTATTGTTCAGTACTGCAGTGCATTATCACCATTGCTCTTATTCCATATATTCTCAATGTCAGCCACATCCTTTAGTTCACTCCAGTGCCAAATAAAATGTAATGAAGTCAATGACAGAGCGTAACATCAGTATAACAGTGGGAGTCTTATATATGGATGAGAAAAGAAGCTTCTTCCTCATCCATAACTGTAATAACCAAAAAAGAATCAAATTTTGAATGACTGTGAAATTATTATATACATTCCTTCTCAATAAATAGGTGCATTTAATATTAAATTAATATTTCTTTACAGATACATGGTATATACAGGTACATCCATTCAAAAACAACCAACGGCGTCCGGCGATGACAGCGAGAACAACAGAAAGTAGAAACACTAGAAACACAACCACGTTCTCATGACTGCTGTGGGTTTGAAGGCACTTCCTTGGCACCACGTCGATCCTTCTTCTGTTATTCTGGGACCTGCAATCAAAAGAAAATACAAAACCTTGATGAGGATGAACCGTCACTCCTTCCTGCATCCTTTCAGACTGCATGTTTGCTTGTGGCTTCCAGAGTTTGTAGAATGGGAGGCAGAGCGTCTTCTGTGGAAGCAGCTCCCACTGTGGATCCAGGAGATAGACACCCCCAGCGTACATGCAAGTTCAGGCTTTTCCTTACAGTTAGGATCAGGTGACCCTGAGGCATCCTTTAGTTCAGCTGGAACAGGCTCCTTTTCACTCCCCACGTGTTTGTGCACCACTGCTGCACGCCATTACACTGCTTCTTCTTCTTCCTGTCTCCCACGCTCTATTTCTTTTCTATTTGCAAACGTGATGGTTTTCAGAAGCTCCTCTGCTAACAGTTAATGACTGCTAGGCTAGCTACAGTAGATTTGTTCATTACTAAAATTTTGCAAATCAGATTTTCCCTGCAAGGCAAACAGAAGAAGGCTAAGACGCCCCCGCAAAGCAGGAACTGTATTTAGAAAACTAAAACTAGAAAACTAATTATACTTCCACGTTCACCTCCAACACCTCCATGCAAATTTTTGTTGTTTTCCACTCAACGATGTAATTCTGCTAACATCTCTATTAAGAAATGACCAGAATGACGACATAACGAATCCTTTAATATTCCCTCTGATTGTTACATTTGTCAGATTTCGCCGACAGGATCTTATTATCTGATTCACTTGAGAAACTGAATACCTGGGATGTGTCAGCCTCTTCAAATTTATAATCACCAACTCCACTACAGAAAAATCCAATGAACCAAGATGACCGCTTGTAGAGATGAACTGTAAGAGCAATCACTCTCCAGCTAATTTCCTGTACTGAATGTGTGCGTTTACGCTGCAGCATTTAGACAGCAGTGAACCCTTCAGACCTGCTGTCACAGAAGATCAATTTTAAAAAGGCCTGACAACGACAGCGTCGTAAATTACTCCACTGATGTCCGTCCTCTGTCCTGAGAGCGGTCGTATTAATAGATTTAGTGTGAGGAAGTACACGAGTGGCGTTTCTCCCACGAACGTCGGGAAGCAGTGACGTTCATGGAAAAAGACTATATACACACACACACACACACACACACACACACACACACACACACACACACACACACACACACACATATATATATATATATGTATGTATATGTATGTATTTTTACTTTAACCCCTCTGTTGTTGTGGATGCAGGAGACCACGGGTGAATTATTATCTCTGTGTGCCATTTCCTCACATGTGCTTGACAACATGAATTACATGCTCTAATGTGCATGTTTGGCATAAAGAGAACTGAATGTATAAAATCTGCAGCTCTGTTCTTTCTGACTCTCACTCCACTACAGACCTAAATTTAAACCCTGTTCTGACAGGCTAGCATGTCATCAAAGCATACAGTCTTCTTACATAAAGAAATGTTGAATTTAACATTTCTACTTGCGTGAAAAATCCCCCCCCCGGTTCTGTATCACACATTCAATTAAACTGACCAAAAGCAACAAAGACCTCTGAATTAATATTTCTGTCTTCTTTAACATCGTTTATTGTCTATTCAGAGGATGATGACAACAAATGATGACAGTCAGGAAAGCAGGAAAAACTTACATGCAATATCTAGGACTGCATGCAGAGTGGACTCATCGCTAATCGTGTTAGCAATCTCGCACATCGTTTGTAATCTGGGGAGAAAAACATGATGTTAATATAACGCCTCCCTGGTAACCATATCAGTAAAAAACAAACATGAAACGTTTTGATTTGTGGTAAAAATAGTAACGTAGACATGAGGTCTCAGGTTCACAGTGAAATACTTGTTAAACCATGTTCTGCTGTGGCATCTATAGTAAAGTATACTTAACTTACTGGTAAAAGATAAAAAGCCAATTATATGTATGTATGTCTGTGTATATGTATACATACACATACATATATAAAAAGAAATAGACCTAAGAGAAGGTTCTGAGCGCTGCTGCCACATGATAACTCCTGAAATACAAACAGAGTCCCGTTTTCTGACCCTGACATCTGTAATATCTGCGTGACATGAACTGCGTCCCACAATCCTCTGGGCCAACCCAGCATCCTGTATGTGATCCATTGGCCAGCATTGTCTCACTATTGTCAGGCTTTAAATAAACTTCCTTAACCTCGGGACAATCCTGATTATGTGATGTAGTTTGATGCCTGTTTGACTCGGTCACATGTGTGAAAGGCATCAGGAAGAGGAGGAGCTTCTCGCTCTAATTTATTGTGTGACAAACGCACACCACCCAGCATTACCATCTGCACTCACTGATGTCTGTGGACGGTTTCCTCATAATTCCCATATCATTAATATCCCAGAAGGAAGACCGGGATTTTCATAATACATCACCAAATTGTCTTAACAACAGAATCAAATAATAAAACATCGTGTTTGAGCTTTGAAATCCCTGCAGCGCGTTAGCTCTGTTTACTTTTACTAGAAACCCTCGGCGTTATCGTGTACAGCTCAAGTGTCAAACTCGTTTTATTTCAATGCTGCGTGTGCGCAGGTTTGATCTCAGAAGTAAGAACGATTGTATAAGAACTTAAAAACACACTCACAGTTTTTTTACATAACGTGAACGATTCATTTCCAGTGTAGCTGCGATTTCTGCAGTCAGTCTTGTAAATCACACAGTTTAGTGTGGTACTGCAGGCCGTGGGTCACATCGCTGTCACAGAGAAGGCTGACAGTGATTCAGGCTTCTGTTTGGACGGCCGCTCTGATATGATCCCCTATTCATTAGGGGTGGGGGAAAAATCGATACTGTGTAGCATCGTGATATTTTGTTTGCTAATAATGTATCGATGCAGGGACAGCACAAATCGATATTTTGTTACAGAAAAAAGTTTTTGTGCTCTGACTTCAGAGCACGTTGATCCTTTTTCTGAGCAACAATCCTGACACTGTCAAATGTGTTTAACTGTTTTTTGGCAGCAATAAACATGACAGTTTACTTATTTTAATTTAAGACATGTTTTATTTTAATTACGTTTAAAACTTTTTTATTTAACGTAAAATTATATTTTGTTTTAATTTACTTTCAAATTCTTCAGTTGCTGAAGGGGCTGCATAGTTTTCATATTGCATAGTTCAGAATAGCTATAATTGTACCAGATGGTTTCAGTTAAGTTGGACTAGACTGTAATACAAACCGTTCAGTTTGTCAACAATAAAACTGAGATGAGAGAAAGACTGAGTGTGAGACTTTGTTATTAGATAAAATTAATATTGATGAAGTTTACCTTTATGGACAGAATCTGAATATCGCAAAATATTTTAAAAAATTGCAATAATATCGTATCGTGCGTTAAGTATTGTGATAATATCGTATCGTGGGATGTTTGGTGATTCCCACCTCTACTATCTAAGCTTCTGGCATAAATACAGATACGATATCCCTCAATCACTACAGTTTTTACTCCCTAAATGTTAGCCAGCGGTGGTGTATATCCCCCTCATCCACAAATCAAAATGACTTTATAATTTAAGAACAGTTTAAAGCAATAAAGTTTGTCTTATTAAGCACAGAGTTTAGCACTCATAAACTGAACTCGGATCAGGTTTGACTGGTAGTTGATTTAAATGTCATAGTGTGACAACTCCAACCCAAACAAACTGTTAAGACGTTACAGTAAACCCGTAAAAGCAGGTTTTGAGGAAGCGCAGAGATCATCGAGCACATCAGCAGAAACAGAACAGGAGAAGAAGTCATACATACATGCTGGTGTCGAGCAGTCCCTCGTGTTGTGATAAACTCTATGAAAGTGTGTTTTGCACTCCGATGAGAACTTGACTGGTCCTGCTTAACAGAAAAAGGTCTCATCAGATAAAGCAATCATTTTTGAATCTTATTTGCAGGTGTAATTAAGCTTACAGTTAATGTGAACAGACATGTGCTAACTAAAGCTGGACCTGGCCTTAGTGTGCAGGGGAATCGAGTCTTCAATTAGAAGCACATCTAACATTTAAGCTTCCAGATTTTCACATCACTCATGAACCCTGCACATAGTTCCTGAGACAAATAATCAGCTTAATGTGCCGCTGCCTTCAGCTTAATACTGTCAGCTTCAGACCATGTGCTGTTTCTCAGCACTGCTGCCCTACAAGCAACCCTTTCTTAACTTACTGCAGCCCCCAGTGTTCGTGATGTTTTCTATGACCTGAGCAGACTGCATGCTGGCTTGAAAAGAAAAGGATTTTTTCACAGGGGCAAAAGGAGGAATTTGCACTGGATTAGTGCCATCAATGCTGGGACAGTTAGTTGTCAGAAACAAACGGTCTTGCATTAGAGACAGAGTTTGTGCTCCTAGTGTCGTCTTTGGTTTCTTACCTCCAAAATGCTCAATGATTTTCTCTTTCATGTTTGCATCTCTGGAAAAGATTTCTGGAAAAGAAACTCACTGTTAGCTTCTCACCATCTGAGCAAAGTTATGCATGAATCACAGTGACGGAGGGATCGTCAGTGTTAACAGTCTCCCTCCTGCATCCTGCATTATGTTTCAAGAATCTCAGCAGTGTCGCTGCTTTACGTGACGATGCACAGCTGCTTTGCATTATTAATAACTTTGAAATGTTTTTGGATTTTACTGCACACGTCCCAACTGCAGAATCATAAATGAACATTATTCATTCTCTATTAAGTTCCTCAGATGTGCACCAAATGTAGTTTTTCTCCAACTGATTGACACACTGGTGTTTTTGTCCACGGTTTGCACTCTGAGGAAATTTTGTGTATTCATAAAGACACCAAGGACCTCTGTTTGTATTAACTGTCCATCCAGGCAACACAATGGCCATGCTTACAGGCTAAAGAGATTATTTTATGGGAGTGTAATGCCCATCAGAAGAAGTAAGTAGCTACATTAACCCTCCAGCAAGAGATTTGTGCAATGCTCTACGGGGGGATAAATATGGAAGAAAATCACTTAGATGCACTAAGAAAAATCACAGAGAATATTACAAAATTAATTTAGGAAGACGGACAGAAGACAACCCATAAGAGCAACACGGGTCAGGTTTTCAGGGTCTACATATGTGGAGGATTAGTGAATGTGTCGACACTGTTTTTAGCTGCCAGTCCTAAACTGTAACGATGTAACAGATAAAACCAGCTAGAAAATAAGTGCCTGGCTTCATGGCGTGTTTCTTGAAACAACCGTAGCTGTAGAGGAAGAGGTGAGTGTGCCGCACACATCAGTGGATTTATCGATGTTTCTCTTTCCTCCTCGTTGTGTTCAAAACATCCATCCTTGCGTGACCACAAATCTTTGGTAGCGTTGCACGCACCGCTTGCTAATGTGCTGCTTTTTATATCCTCAAAAGATGAATTCCATCCAGTCAGTGGTCTGAAAGGTACTTTTCCAACTGCATGAGCTGGAGCCAAGATTTTAAGCTGTATAACGCCTGCACAACATCTCTACGACAGGATCTAATTGATAGTGGTATTGGACACAGTCTGATATTGGAAATAAACAGCACATTATGTTAACTTAGCCCTTAATATACTCCCACACATACCAGTGAGGCACAGCCCTCGACTACTCTCTGAGTCTGTTAAAGCGATAAAAACAGTTTCATAAAAGGATTTTCTGGATTCCTTTTCTTTATCACATTCGAGCGCACCTTCTTTGCCAGGTTTTAGATATTTGAAGAGTTGCAGCATTAATGCAGATTTACTGAAATGTCTGAGACGACTCAGTTTTAGTAAAAATCCTGTTAAATGTCGCAAGGGCAACATTCAGTAACATGCTCTGGATAGTCTTCCCAGATAAATAAAGTCCAGTGTTTATAGTCTCCTCATACAGGCTCTTCATTCCATAACGGTCAAAAAAGTATTTTAGTTAGAGTATCACTGATGCAATGCCGTGTACGTGACACAGCACAACCAGTCTGCTTTATCTGCTCTGTCTGCAGACGTGAATGTGACCGGAGATGCTTTCCAGGACACTACAGCGCCTGTGTGCATGTTGGGCGCTCATCACTCACGTTAAAGAGTCCAATCATACTGAATGACTCATTCACAAGTTTAGCATCACCATGCCCCTCCTACCTTAATCAGCCTATCCACATCTCCATCTGTCCAACAGTCAGTTAAACACGTGTTGAAGAAACATGGTCAGAAAACAGGTCTTCAAAATGAAGCACACCTGCATTGTGTTCATGGAAACCACTTTAAATTTAGCTGGACACTTGAGGCCAGACGGATGTGGATGCTGACCTCTCTGAGCACCAGTGACACACAAAATTACAAAATTTAACTCGAACAAACCAGTTTCCATTCAGCTAAAAGAAGCTCTTGAATAAGGCGTGCAGCACTGCCCAGAACACTGACAGCTGTCCCCAACTGTAAAATGGGGATTATGCCTTCATCATCAGAACCTAAAAATAAATCTTATCAGCTTACCTGAGAGTCTACTGTTATCCAGCCTAGGGACATAGAAAGGCTTTTCCCGGGAGGAGAACTTCATGTCTTGTGCTGAAGTGAAGAGTCCACTGCTACAGCGCCTGGAGATGGGTTTCTCCCGTTGCTGGCTGTCTCTGATAACCTGTAAGATTAGATCCAACAGGGTCCTTCGTTCTTTCTGCTTGTCCTCCTTGCTGTCCATACACTGACCCGAAGTGATGAGCAGAAAGAAGATAGTGAGCAGTACGTGCCATTTCCTTTCCACCTGCATGACTTTACTGTCTGAAAGCATGAGCAGACGGGTTTTGTTACACGAAAGTCATTACACGAAAAGAAATGCCTCATTTGTTTGACTGGACTGACCAAAAACACACTTGGACAGTTTGCATTATGATTTACATGAAGGGACGAATCAGCACTGATATTTGAAGTCCTTCACATTTTCATTATTACAGCAAAATTAATAAAATCTGCATGTTGGAGATAAAATAGGTAACTTCTAAAAAATCTCCACTTTCCCCTTGTTTAATACAAGAGTAACGCAAATGCATTTAATTGAACTTCAAACTTACTAGTTTAGGAGTTAAAGATGCTTATGTCCTGGAGGGTGGACACAGTTGTCTTCAGCAAATTCTTCCGATCCGATAGGAGAGAAAGCCAACAGACTGTGCTCACCACCGTCTTTCTTGAAATAATGCGTTCCTATTTATACGAGGAGCCACCTTCTTGAAGGTAATACAATCGATTTTGAGTGGGTGGTAAAGCAATGTTGACATCTTTGGTGTAATTTCTTCCAGTGGCACTCGCTCACTTAGGCATGAGCCACTCCTTTACGCACCAAAAACATCACTAGTTGTAGTTGAACGGGACAGGCTACTTGCAAATAAAAACGACCCTCTTATAGATGCAATAATGGGCGAAGATCTGAAAAAGTCCCCCGTGCACTATAACTTCCATTAAAAAAGAAAGAAAAAAACCCGACAAAGACCGTGGCGCGGAAGCGCACGAGTGTCCACTTTTCCAAAAAGAGCGACTTGTTGGATGTTGGGTGCAGAGAAGTGAAGAATCTGTGGGCATGTGAGCTTCTAGCTGACCTGTCAGCGTGCCGATGTTTTTGCTCACCGATGTCCAAGTCTTGTGACCGCCTAAGCGCCGCAGATATTGCGCCTCCTGGAGCAGCCATCCGGCTTTTTCCCACACATGCTGAACAGAGTCATGTCCGTGTATAACTCTAAAACTTTACCTACAGGTGTGGCAGGGTTACGGAGTGGTGTAATTAGTGGGTCGCTACATTTCAGATGCATCTGATACAGACACACCTGCTGACTCAGTTGCTGGAACTGTGGCTCCAATCCAGTCTAAAATACAAAGTTTGTATGAGTGTAACAATGAGGCAAATCTATTAATGCGTGAAGTCTTCAGATTGATTCATTGTTTCATGTGTAATCAGTTATTAACAGGCTTCTATTTGTGCTTACAGAGATCCACGTTTGCACTTTGCATGCATTCACGTCACCTAGTTGCGTAAAGAGCTCATGTGGAAGCTTTAGATGTGCATTTCGTCATTCGATGTTTATTGGTGGTTTAAAAAGCACAGGAGGAGGAAGATGACATTACTGTTTTTATTATTGTTGTTGGTGTAGATGTTTATATGTTTTTATATTAATTGTGGAGAAGAAGCACTGTGCGTCAGGTGTTGGTCCCCATCGCTTAGCTTTACCTGAACATAACCACTGTCTTCTGGGGCGCTCAGCTGGAGCCCAAAGGTATCTTGACACCTTTGGAGGGTATGCGGAGCGAAACACGACTTTCAACGCGGACAGACTTCCTGTGTTACTGTTACTATGGAAACAGACCACGCACTGAAGGCTGAGCTAACGTTAGCTGTAGCTAACCTTGGTTTAGTTTCGGCTCCGTGGGACCTTTCTTTGGTTAGAGACACGTTTTCTATCTAAATATGTCGCAAAGGTAACCTGTTCAAAAGCCACGTGCTTGTTGTTGTGAAGTGTTTAATGTTTGCTTGTTGTGCGTAAAACGTGAAAATATCTGTGCCCAGTAAGTCAAACTAAAGAAAGTATCACAGCAGGGATATTTCAAATTTAGCAGCATATTTGATCACAGAATAAATAAAGGGTCTTATTATTATTGTCAATCCCAATGAGTAATGAGACTCCAGCTGAATAGCAGCGCTGACACGTGTGCTGGTTTCTGCTCTTTAAATATTTAGCTTTGTTGTTATTCGCATTTGCAAGTCATGATCGTTTATTCTTGTTATTCTTTGAACAATCACTAACCTGCATTATGTACCTTTCAGGATTCTCACTCACAGACTGTTCGTTCTGGCACAAACTCATCAGATTGCTTCCACTTTTTCAGGACATACAACCAGCTGTGGGCAGATGCCCAGTTAGAGCTGAGCTGTCTGCTAGAAGAAGAACTACCAGCTGAGCCCCCAGGCCCTGAAAAAGACAGAGTCGTTTTCTTCCAGCGTCTGGCCGTGCTTTTTGTGCGCTACACCCAAATCTTCAGACAGCTGGAGAAAGCCTATGACCTGGTGGTCCACCCTCAGAAGAGGAGATTTATTCACTCAGCTCTTGAAAGTGTGATGGGAAGAGTGTTAGAGCTGAAAAATGAAATGGTGGAGAAAGAGTTTTCAGAGTACCACTACATGGATGATGTGCTTCATGATTTGAAGCTCATACCTGTACGTTTGATTTCTGAGTTCAAGATAAAACCAAAATAAGCTTCTGCACACCGGCGCCCAGGGCCAACATAGTAACCACTGTTTACTCTGATGTCCTGTTAGGCCGACCTCGAGATCCCCATCCCTCGCTACTTTCACAGTGAACGCAGCAAAGAGGTGCAGCAAAGAAAGGCCATGCTGACTGACATCCTGAAAATGGCGGAGGTCACTGAAACTCCTGAGGTGAGTGGAAAAGCAGCCAAATCTTTTAAAGCCCTGAAACTTTCTCGCTTAATTTGTTCCTGTCATTTTGTTACACGCTTATGCAACAACTCTTACATTTAATGAGCCGGCGTCATGCAGAAGGTGTTCCCGTACTTTTGTCTGTTCTATTTTTGTCCCCACAGCCTGTAATGGCCAAGAAGATGAGTCAAGAGGAGGCAGTGAAGATTATTCAAGTGGCAGAGCGGGCACGACAAGGACGTGAAAGGGCAAAGTTCAACATGAAAAACTTAAATATGAACACCATGTACAGGATCAAGGAACCTGGAGCAGAAAGTGCTGAATCCGCTGCAGTCTGCATCCAAAAGGTCCATCGTTACTCACACACCACGTGTCACGTGCCATCTTCTTTTTCTGTGCAAGCACTCGTTCATGCTCACAGGTACAATTGAATGTACTCGCAGGTGTGGAAGGGCTACGTGCAGAGGAAGAGGACAAAAACTGCCAGAGAGGAGGAGATGATTCTTCTGGGAATGGTGGGTAAAATGCGGCTTCATCAAGATACTTTTTAATGTTTATAAGGAAACACTAGAGTGCTGAATTTTTGTTCTAGAATATGGATCCAAAGTATGAGGAGCCACGCCCTGCGGAAATGACGGCCCAGGCCATCGCGGCTTCCACACGAGTAAAACAGATGGAGCACGAGGAGGCTTACCAAAAGGCCACAGTGGATGTCATGAACCAACTACGGGATGTGGAAGGGGACGACATGAGCAAAAGCATGAAGGTGCAAATTCAGCAGTGGTTCACTGAGTGCCGGTAAGCTGGCAGAGAGTTTGTTTCCATGATTTTTCCCTCTGGTCACGGAGCTTTTTCACACTTGGTGGGTTTAGTTTCACGTTTGAATCTTCGATGTTTTAGCAATGCTACAGGAACATTTCCAGACTACCCAGATGAAGAAGATGGAGGTTCTGCCCTCATTTTTGCTGAAAAGACCCCTCAGCAGGTAGAATCCAGTCTGATTTAAAGGTTTTATTCGTGCTTTAATATTGTTCGTAAACAGTGGCGTTGGTGGGTTTTTTAGTTGTTGGAAGAATTTGCTGCAAAAGAAGAAGAAGAGGCCAACGCCAAAGCTAAAGGAAAAGAAGAAAAGAAGGAAAAGGGGAAAAGTGACAAGAGGAAGGAAGACGAGGAGGTGGGGAGACACCGCTGTTTTTAATTTAGTAGAACAATCTGTAAAATGATTATTACTGTATCTTAGATAAGAATATAGCAAAATATTGAGCTCAATCAAAGCAAAACCAAACGCTTCACTTTGTGTTCATCGCTGTAACTGCATCACGATCAGGTGGAGGAGGCAGGGCTGAAGATGCTGCCCTCTGCATTTCTGCTGGACCTCGAAGTTGAAAGTAAAATCTACGCAGGTACGGTCCAGCGCCAAACACTGACAGTTTGTTTAAATGTTAAAAACCTTTAACACTAAAACTCGTGATTCACATCCAGTTTGCAACAAAGCGTAAAGGTTTTTGTTTGTTTTGGCCAATCATGAGTCTTTGTGAGTATCACAGTTTATCCTGATGCATGCTGAGTCATGCAGGTAAGTAACTCTGTAAGTTCTGTTCATCTGGACGTTTTCAGTTTCGTCACTCATCCAGGTGACTTCTTCAGCCTCCAAGTGACGAGCCGCTTCCCCCACGCTGCGTCCTGATGAGCAGCGCCAACCTTTCACGCGCATACTTAGAGTCTGCATCTTTGTCATCCTCAGACTTTTGGCACAATCGCAGCGAGTACGGAAACTTTAACCAAATGCACGACCCGGAGCTGATCAAGGAAGAAAAGAGGAAAGTCATTGAGGCGGAAATTCGAGTGAAGGTGCGGCGAAGGCTCCAGCACACGAGCCACCATTGTAAAAGCAATTCTTGGCTCATTTCACAGCAAAACACCCGTTTGCTTCTGCTTAGCCTTAAATTAACATTTCGTTTGGTCTTAACAGAGAGTTCGATGCAATGCTTGGGTTTGCCTCACTCACTGGTGATGTTTTGCTCGCACCAGGTCGATGAGCAGATGAGACACGAACTGGCTGAGTGGAAGCTGTCTGTGGATAAAGACAAGGGCGGTAAGACGAAAGCAAACGCCAAGGTACCTGACTGAGAGACGGCGGCCGCAGTTTACGCTGATTCCTTGAAGCGTGTTGCTGATTGTGTTTGTTTCTGCAGAAGAAGAAAGGCTCTAAGAGTGGAAAGAAGAAGAAAAAGGAAAAAGACCTGACGGCTGATCGGTGAGGTCACGCGCAGCCTGATTGGATGTTCAGCACAATGCAGAAGAGATTTCATCTTTTATTCACATCTGTAGGACTCTGCAGTCTCTGTGTCGGGAGCTGGTGGAGCAGGGCTTACTGAAGCAGACACGTAATGTTCAGCTGCAGGATTTCTTGGGTAAGACACGACACACTGTGACAGAAATGCTTTTGTCTAATTGTAACTTGTTTTTGTGTGCTTGTGCATGATGTGCTGGTACTCCACAGGAAGTTCACCACTGAGCTGTGTTAAGTAGAAACTATGGCGCGTGGATGTGCTGCCCTCTTCTGGCTCGCGTTGCTAAAACTAATCTCACGCAGTCGTTCGATGTAATGTTGATGATTTTGCACCGACTGTCTATATTCATACGTCACAGTTCAGTTAAGTACAGATTAAATAAAATGCTGTAACTTATTACATCATTTTATATCCCAGCCTTTGTTAAGGTGAGATTTATTCACTGATTATGGTTTTGCAGAACATTTGTATTGTGTCGATGTGAAACTAACAAACAGGTGACTTGCTGCATACTCCCTAGGCGACTATAGCTACCTGGGGACCACGCTGAGGCAACACGACATTGAGCCCATGCCGTCATTGTCAGATGTGCGACAAGTCATATCTCTGTACGCAGTTCTGCCGTTAGGTATTAAAGCCAGCACCGATCTTTCACATCAACGGGACAGAAAACATCTGTAGTTTGAAATAACATGCGCGTCACTTTCAGGCTCTCAGGTGGTACACGAGAAGGCTCCTCTGATAAAGTCGGTCCTGCTGGTCGGACCCACAGGTGTGGGTAAAAAGATGCTGGTCCATGCGGTTTGCCACGAGACGGGCGCCTGCCTGTTTGATCTGTCTCCCCTGAACACAGCCGGAAAGTACCCAGGCAAGAGCGGGCTCGCCATGATGCTTCACATGGTGTTTAAGGTGAAACGGCCAACCGCAATCAATGCTTTTAGTCTCGCGTGTGCAGCACAAATGAGAAGAATTTGGTGATTTAAAGACTTTAAAAAAGGTAAAATCAGACTGCATTCAGATTTTTCTGTCATTATCTTAAAGACTCAAAGTTATGAAGGCAGAACCTTAATGAACTTACATGACAAACTGGTTAATGTCAAGCAGAATAAAGAAGCCAGTGCATAGAAAAATGCAGCGTGAGTGTAACCCAAATAAGGCGGAAGAAAGAGGGCTGAGGCTCACAGACTAGAGTGCATCTAAAGACAGGCTTGTGTTCAGCTGGCGTAGCAGCAGAAATGACCCACATCACCATGAACATTTGCATCCTGCTAAGTTCCTCCTGATCGTTTACAGGTTGCGAGACTGATGCAGCCTTCAGTGATCTGGATCGAAGATGCAGAGAAAATGTTTTACAGGAAAATCCCCAAAGAGGAAAAAGAGGTAAAGCAGACAAAGGGATTGTCGTTGTGTACAAATGTTGTAAAGCTGATTTTTCCATGTGGTTAATAGTTGGACCCTAAGCGGCTGAAGAAAGATTTGCCCAAGTTCCTGAAGCTGATCAAAGGGGAGGATCGCGTTCTGATCATAGGAACGACTCGAGACCCGCACAGCGCCGAGATCAAGTCTCTGTGCAAAATGTTCAGCAAAATCCTCCTCATCCCAAGACCTGACTACGGCTCAAGACGCAGTAAAGACAATTAAACGTCATGTTTTTGTAATGAATGTAACGATATTTCGACGACGTTGGTGTTAAACTTGACTCTGTTTGCCTTCAGTCCTGTGGAAGCAGCTGATCAGAAAACACGGAGGTGAAGGGACCGAGGCGTTGGACCTCAGTTCTCTGGCAAAGATTTCTGACGGCTATACTCCAGGACACATCGTCCAAGTGATTCAGAGCGTTCTTACCAAACATCGAGTCTTCCAGCAGGCAAAACGACCGCTGACTGCAGCCGAGTTTATCGCCCCGTTAGCCCAGATTGACCCCGTGTTCCAGGAGGAGGAGGAGGCCCTGAAGGTAACGTGGATGTCTTTGATGTAAAGAGTAGCTCAACGACAGGCTGAGAAGCAGAATATTGAAGCCTGCTTTACTCTGGCTAAAAATAGACTAAAAGTACTGCGGATCACTTTATATAAAGGTTAGACACGAGATTATTAGAGGTTGTTAAGTTACTCTTTAGGATTTGCTTACATTTACATTCTTTGACAGTATTGTTGTCACTGACATTAAAATCATAAAAGGATTTCTTTTTCCAACAGAGCTGGTATGCAAAGACGCCCCTGGGAAAGAAGAGAAGTAAAGCTGCGTCAGGAAAGGAAGAAGAAGAACCAGCTAAAGACAAAAATACCAAGAAGAAAGGAAAAAAATGATCTTTTATTTGTTGTCTTTTACTGAAGTGTGTGAGTTGTACCCTCAGTGAGGCTGACGCTGTCCTGCGTCAGTAACACACATTAAGCTGCAGTCCCTGTGTTTGCAGCCACATCAGTGAAGTTTCTCTCTTGTGCAGGAGTTACCTGTAAACAGAACGCAGTCGTTTTCAAATCATTAGCATCCTACATTTTATTGAATGCAGTAGTTTGATGATTTTCAATTTTATGTCAGTAAAATGTTTCCAAAACGTTGGGAGGTCTTTTTTTCAGTATGCACGTGGGAACAAGGACGCCCACTTCTGCAGTGCGTTCGCTTTTTCTGCGTTTCGCTCGCTTGGTGTCGGATTTTATCCTCTCAGCTTTGTCATGTTTGTTTGGGTGGATGCCAGGCCGAGACTGTGGGCTTCCATACAAAGAAGAAGATCTAGATGCCGGTTCTTCATCCTTACTTCTGAATGGCCTGTTCTCTCTGAGGTGCAGTTTGTATATATATGTAAATATGACCCTTGACCTGTCAAACTGGTGGCTGTAGCTGTGAGACTGAAGGCTAAGCTGTTATTAGATGTGCCAAGGCGGCTCAGTCAAGGACATTTAATGTTCAGGCTGTGGCTTCCTGGCTGTAGCGCTCAGTTATGAAGGTTAAGGAGATCCTCTTTTCTTTAGGTGTCACACACAAAGCCAGAGTAAAATTCATTTCCAGGGCACCGAGATGACGACAGGAGCCACATTTTAAATAATCACAGCGTGCTGCAGAGTCCTACAGTGTGCTCTTTGTTATTGCCTCTGTGTGGTGCAGAGAGTCAGGCTCAGAAGAAATGCCAAACACACGAGGGGGAGTGTTTCCAACATGATCCAGAGGCTTAGTTCAGCTGTTTCGTCAAGTTCTAAATTCCCTCGGCAGATCTTCACATTGACTTGGTTCCTTTACCGTGACTCTATTTTTAGAGTTTGTACACAAAGATCCACATTTCATCATGCAAAGCTCGTCTGTTGGACATCTTCACAGGATCAAGACATCAGAGGCTGCTCGTCTTTCATCTTCAGAAACAGCGACAGCCTTCGAGTGAGAAATACAACGAAATATTTGTTCCTACACCGACTCGATATTTTACCTGTTAAACATTGCAGTGAATGAGCTTCTGTAAACTGAGAATGGCTTCTGTGGACCACCGTTCTCCTTCGCAGTGATGACAGGTTATTTTCTGTGCCCCACAGAGATAATCTCTGCTGATACAGTTTCACTGGCACATGGGACTGTCTGTCAGACTGAGGTTTACACAATGCTGCCTGGCTCTGGCTTTCTTCTTTTTGATGAGGGATTCCCACAAATCTGAACTACGTAAAAATGGTTAAAACAATAGCATAAAGGCTGAAGCACGGTTGGCTGCTGGGCTTTGACCGTCTCATTGTAATGTTTCCTGTATTTGGTTTTTGGGGCAAACTGAGCTTTTCAGATCCCAGATGCAGCCACACAGACCATAGTTGTGGTCAAAAGGTTACATACAGTAATCACGGACATGGATGTCAGAGTAATTTGAGGTTTTAATGATTTCTTTGAACTTTTAAAAAACAAGAATTGGTGCACAAGTTTGGATTTATTCTGTGTTTTCCTTAACCCCCGCCCCAAATAACATTAGGTTAAATGTCCCTTAGCAAAATCTGTCCAACCATCGTGGTCTCCTTCTTAGGGCCTCCAGTACTACTCACAGCAAAACAGCCCCAGAGCATAATGCTACTACCACCATGCTTGACTTTTGATCTTTTGGAGAAGGCATTTGGTTTGTCCATGTGTACGCCTGCAAATTTCAACTGCACTTTAAGGCTTCGATTATGCAGCAGTGGCTTCTGTCTTGGTCGGGATCCTCTCAGTCTGTGTGAAACTTGTTTTGACTGTGGACAGTGACGCTGGTGTTCCAGCGGTTTCGAGTTCATGACACACTTTAACCCTGGTGGTTTCTGGGCTGTTCCTGAACATCCTCTCAGCGGAGGGCGACAGCTTGGCTGGTCTTCCTCAGCAAAGTGGTGACATATCCAAATAACTGGTACTTTTGTCCAGTTGTTTGTGTTTGATCTGCAGCTGTTCTGATGTAGCTCTGTGATGCTTCTCTGATGGACCGTCCCAAAACCCCAACTTCAAATTTACTGACTATGTTTAAAAGGAAACCCACCAGGCCGTGATGAGTGGTGAAATATGCAGCCAGAGTTATGCCCGAGGCTCCAAAGGTGTCTTATGAAGGTGGGTCTTGATTTGATTTTACATGTGCGTATGTATGCTTTGACCCTGTGTGGATGACAGAAAATCCTACATTCAAACTTGTTTTGTAACGATTTTAAGGACGTATGCATCTTTCATGACCTTTTAGCATTAACAGTGGAAGAAACCACCTCTTTCCTGTTACCTGTTTGACGTCTGTATCTGTAACAGGTTTTAGACACTGTGGCACCCAATGTGTGTGTATATATATATATATATAATGTTCTTCCTCTACACCCCCCCCCCCCCAATTTTTTTGCACATGTCAGGCTACATTTCATTGTGTGTTATACTTGTATAACTATGATGCATGTGACAAATAAAGAACCTTGAACCTGTGGGTCGGGGTTGTACAGAGCAGGCGATTAAACCCCATCAGCCTCATGGTGCAGAGACTCGTCTGATGCTGTTCGGTCATTTTGGTCTCGTTGTTGAGAGAAAATGCTGCAGACCTTCTGATGCAATACAAAGGTTGCTTTAAAATAAGGTGAATCTACGTTTTGTTGTCATGTTTCTAAGCTGGTCAACCCCTCATTGATGCACGGTGGAAAACCATCAGAGACACTGGGACCACTGTTTACATTCTGATTGTTTTTCATGGTTCCAGTGATGTCGAGCATATGGTGCCTTGCACCATTAAAGCCAAAGCTATCTTTGCCCTCATACTGACAGAAGGCTATTTTGGAGGTTAGTGTGTGGGGAGAGATATGTCAGCTGTTCAGCACTATGCTCCATAACAGCAGGAAAAAAAGAGAAAGCACTATAGCCTGTCAACTTTGGGAACTGGGATGCACAAGGAGGCATGGACACGCTCTTTGGTGGATTAAATGCATCTTGTTAACCTTAAAGGCTCTGTGAGAAACAGCACAGCACTCCCAAAGGATCAGTGGCCACGCTGGAGGTTTCATCCAGCTCGTGTTTGCTTTGGATAAAGTAGTTTTGCTTTTTTGAAACAGGTGCAGAAACAGTGCATGCAGGCATGTGTTCGTCCTATAGATCACCTGCTTAGTTTGAGAGCTGGTGCATTGGTGCAGGTAAGCTTATGTATTCTTCTTTAATTTGGAAATGTGTATAGAAATGATATTTTTTATTTTTGCAGTTGAATATAGCCAACAAGAAACCCTGTTGAATAGAGTATCACTGGAATATAGTTGAATTATATTGCAGAGTTGTATTAAGCTGGTTTGCTGTATTGCTCTGAAAGGATTTCAGTTTTTATTTCTCTGGTGTTTATTTTGCAGAATAGATTTTAATAGGCTTATGATAAAATATTAGGTAATCTAGATAACTGGTTCCAAAGACAGTGGCGTGTGTGACGCATCATAAAATACCATTTTAGCTGTAGGTAATGTAATGGAGCAGACTGGCCTATGCTTGGAGCGCTGCTGGGAGGAGCTGGCGTGTTTGATGATCTCAAATATCATATCAATCGGTCGATCGCTTGTTGGCTTTTCAGAGCTTTCCCTTCCTCTGAGTTCAGCTCATGTTGCCTTATGGAGGTTTGATCACAGCTGAGTCTATATTGGTGGGGATGAACTCAGCCAAGTGCGGTGACAGAGATTACTCTGCTCTTCATTACTGACTGGCACGCCATCACAGGGATCAACAACATGAGACACTGATGCCATGTATATCAGTTTGATGGGGTTACCATTTTGGACGTTGTGGTTTGATGGTTAGCCTGAAAGGAATTAATCTGTTTTTGCAATGATGTCCAAAAGATTTAAGCACTCATGCAGAAATCAGTAATGTCTGTACCCCTGAACTGTGAGCTGAATGAGTTCGTGGAAAAGCTGATTTCTCTTTTTGTAACACGGTTAGACAACATATCATGACTCAGGGTCACCTCGGGTACGTTTGTATTTGCAGCCTGCTGACTGTGATAGAAAACAAACTTCTCCAGTCAAGAACAAGAGACATGGGAGACAATAAGCCTGGAGGAATAGTAGCAGCTGCAAGTATGTTTATTTCTAAATGCATTTGTGCTTTTTCAACAGAGTTCTCACCATGAGTCAAAGGCCTTTAGGCCTCTAACGCCGCCTGTGTGTGTGTGTTTGCCAGAGAACCGTCTGCAGGTGGTGAAGGGATTGGATGACGCAGAGGTCTCAGAGTGTGAGAGCTGCTCCTTTGAGGTATCTCTTAACCTAGCCTACATAGAGGGCGTGTGGATGAGGGATGGGACGCAGCTCAAATCTAAACCCAACTGTCGCATCAGCACACACGGGAAGAAACACTCCCTCTTACTGAACAGGGTGGCTTTGGGAGATGCCGGTTTGTTCTCCTTCCAAGCTAATGGCATTCAGACCTCAGGCCGACTCACTGTCAGAGGTAATGTGACAGAACTACTTGCATGCTCACAGGATTGAATGTTTTTATATGGCCCAGACCATCTCTGTGTTAGATCCCAAAATCAGGTCAGTGACTTTCTCCGGGGCTTCGATAACCTGAACCACTAACTCGAGGTTCATACGTGTCTTTAAGAGGCTGTAGTTTCTGCAGTGAAGTGCATGCTGTAGTTGAAATGTCCAACAACTGCTGGACTTGGACAGACGGTGTTAATCAGTGTTATGAACCCAACAAAGCTATGGAACCGCAGAACATACAGTCACAGCGCACCGTCTTTCATTTTAGTTCGTTCAGGCGATCGTGGCTCAAGAGTTGGGAGTTCGTCTTGTAATCGGACGGTTGCCGGTTCGAGCCCCGGCTTGGACAGTCTCGGTCGTTGTGTCCTTGGGCAAGACACTTCACCCGTTGCCTACTGGTGGTGGTCAGAGGGCCCGGTGGCGCCAGTGTCCGGCAGCCTCGCCTCTGTCAGTGCGCCCCAGGGTGGCTGTGGCTACAATGTAGCTGCCATCACCAGTGTGTGAATGTGTGCGTGAATGTGTAGATGACTGGATATGTAAAGCGCTTTGGGTCCTTAGGGACTAGTAAAGCTATACAAATACAGGCCATTTAGTTCAATAAATAAATAATGATATGGAGTAATATGTCAGA